TAATAATATTAATAATAATAATATTAATAATAATAATAATAATAATAATAATTAATAATAATAATAATAATAATAATAATAATAATAATAATAATAATAATAATAATAATAATAATAATAATAATAATAATAATAATAACAAGAATAATAATAATGATAATTAAAATTATAATAATAATAATAATAATAATAATAATAACAGATCAACTGTCCATAGCTGTATTATACTACTAACATGTCACAAAGCATTCATTTCTTTGCCCCATTCAACAAATATGTATTGAATGCCTACTATAGTCTGGTCACTAGTGATACATGGTGAATAAAATATATCAAATCTGTTATTAGAGCTTATGTCTAGTTTTCATAAAAAAAAAAACATATTGTTCTCTCAGAAACATATTCATTGATTGAAGTGGCATGGACTGAATATTTAAATTTTCAACTGGTTAGCCTGGTATCATATAGAACTCAAAACATTAATTCTACATAGGTTCAAAAATATAGTTTCTACAGTGGAAAAATCTCACTAAAATCATACTGCAAATTAAAACTGAAATTTAAAAGCAGGGAAGCCAGCCCTAGCCAGTTTGACTCAGTGGCTAGAGTTTTGTCCCGGGGACTGAAGGGTCCAATGTTCCATTCCCAGTCAGGGCACATGCCTGGGTTGCAGGCTTGATCCTCAGGAGGGGCATGAAGGAGGCAGCCAATCAATAATTCTCTCTCATCATTGATGTTTCTATCTCTCTCTCCCTTCCTCTCTGAAATATATTATATACTAGAGGCCCCATGCACAAAATTTGTGCATGGTTGGGGGGGAAGGGGTCCCCTTAGCCGGCCTGCACCCTCTCCAATCCAGGACCCTTCGGGGGATGTCCGACTGCTGGTTTAGGACCTATCCCGGGCCTAAACCGACAGTCGGACATCCCTCTTACAATCCTGGACCACTGGCTCCTAATCGCTCACCTGCCTGCCTGGTCACCCCTAACTGCCCCCGCCTGCTGGCCTGATTGCCCCTCCACTGCCTCTGCATGCCAGCCTGATCACCCCTAACTCCCCCCCATACTGTTCTGATTGCCCCTAACTGCCCCCTGTTCAGTTGTTTAGTCGTCCCTCACTAACCCCTCAGCCGGCCTGGTCGCCCCATGCAGCCTGCTGTCCTGTCATTTGGTCGCCCCTCACTAACCCCCCTGCCAGCCTGGTCATAGGCAGCCATCTTTGTGAGGGCATGAGGGTTAATTTGCATATTGCCTCTTTATTATATAGGATAGGATTCCCTTTCTTACACATTACCTAGTAAAGATTTGCTCATCCGCCGAAACCGGTTTGGCTCAGTGGATAGAGCGTCGGCCTGCGGACTGAAAGGTCCCAGGTTCGATTCCGGTCAAGGGCATGTACCTGGGTTGCGGGCACATCCCCAGTAGGAGATGTGCAGGAGGCAGCTGATCAATGTTTCTCTGTCATCGATGTTTCTAACTCTCTATCTCTCTCCCTTCCTCTCTGTAAAAAATCAATAAAATATATTTAAAAAAAAAAAAGATTTGCTCATCCTACAAGCGCAAATTCATTCTGTAGTGTCTATAAATCCTTCTGACTTACTCAGGTGAAATCATCTGTTTCTGTTGCTCCCATAGTAGTTTGTACCTCCTTCTAATGTAATATTCATCATATTGTATTATAGTTTTTCTCATTTCCTTCAGTGGACTTCGGCTATCTCCTATTACATACACATTGTTTGGCAGGTAGATGCTCAATATTTTTTAATTAATGAATAAATATATTAAATTCTTGAACCTTTTTCCATAGGTGCTGCAGACGATTACAATAGAATTGGTTCTTCATTATATGCTTTAGGAACTCAGGATTCTACAGATATATGCAAGTAAGGATTCTGATTTTTAAAAAACAGTAAATATAGCCCTAACCGGTTTGGCTCAATGGATAGAGCGTCAGCCTGCGGACTGAAAGGTCCCAGGTTCGATTCCAGTCAAGGGCATGTACCTTGGTTGCGGGCACATCCCCAGTGGGGAGTGTGCAGGAGGCAGCTGATCGATGTTTCTCATCGATGTTTCTAGCTCTCTATCCCTCTCCCTTCCTCTCTGTGAAAATCAATAAAATACATATTTTTTTAAAAACATAGCTATCAGATATCTTCAAAAACTACTCCAACTTCATTGTTTTCCATTTAAATCAGCCTTTTGTCTCTTTGGATGTGATTGTTTTGTACTTCTGTAATAATGTGAAGGTATGGGTTTCATTTAGTATTATGGAGCATATTACTAAAGAATAGCAATACAAAGTTTTTAGGTTTTATTGTATGACTTAGACTGTTATCTAAAAATGGGAAGATTTTCTGTAACAACAGATTTCAAGTAATTTGTTATGGGTGGAAGTACAAAGATATTTTTGTTAAATGAAGAAAATAAGACCATTAAATATTACTGTAATGAGGCAAGAATGTTCATTATTCATTTGGTTTGGGGCATTATGTATTCTCTGGACATTTGAGAAATAGAAAGTTATTTAAAAGTAGCTTCTGATTAAATACTTTTCTCTTCCAGATTTTTTCTCAAAGTTTCAGAACTGTTTGATAAAACGAGAGTAAGTACTGTTACTTAACCTTTGATAATCCACACCTCTGCATACAGCTGTGCTTAACTTATTTAGCTTTATTGAGGAAGAAGAGTTGTGCAACAGATTTAGATGTGAAAATTGGAGAGTTTTTCAGGAAAGTTGGTTTTTGTTACAGCCTTTTGGTATTTATGTAGATGTCTGTATTCCATCAGAAAACATGTTTATCAGAAGACTGGGTTTATTTTCATGAAGAATGACCCTTCCCTGGGACTTTGTAAGCTAGAAGGTTAGATTCATTGTACCTTGACCAAGACTATATTGCTTTTGATCCCCCTTGACACATTGATTTAAAGTGAGTTGTATCAAATATACAACTGCAACCTAGCTGGTTTGACTCAATGGATACAGCGTCAGCCTGCGGACTAAAGGGTCCTGGGTTCGATTCCAGTAAAGGGCACATGCCCAAATTGAGGGCTCGATCCCCACTAGGGGGCATGCAGGAGGCAACTGATCAGTGATTCTCTCTCATCATTGATGTTTCTCTCTCTCTCTCTCCCCCTCCCTTCCTCTCTGAAATCAATAAAAATATTTTTTTTTAAATGATATACAGTTTAAAAATATACACACACACACAACTGCAGAAGGTTTCATTCATGGTAGTAGTAATTTAATAATGACATAATCTTGGTTTTCGAGGATTGGTCCTAGATAAAATATTTAACATTTTTATCACTTGATAGAATAATGAAAATGTTTATTAGATGATTAATAGTATTTAGCTGAGAGTGGTAGTGTCTAGTCCATTGTAGAAATCTGATTTCAACATGACCTTTTTAATTGAGTGATAATGTAGCAGAGACGAGTAAAAGAAAAGAAGATATTCTCTCACAAAGGAAAAAGTTTTTAAATATATAAATGTCGTTATACTGGGGTCCATATAGCCCATTATTCTGCCCTTGCTATTTGTACAAGTGAACATTTTCTAGGAAGATAGGTTTTTTTGTGTGTGCATTTACATCATCAGAATAGGGATCTGTATCAAAATAGCCTTATGTCAGATCTTTTTTGTTATTGTTAATTCTCACCTGAGGATATTTTTTCATTGATTTTTTTTTTTTTTTTTTAGAGAGAGTTGAAGGGAAGGAGAGGGGCTAGAGAGAGAGATACAGAAACATCAATGCGAGAGGGACACATCCAACAGTTGCCTCCCTTGCACACCCCAACCATAGGCAGGGGTCAAACCTACAATCCAGGTATGTGCCTTTGACCAGAAATCGAACCAATGACCCTTTGGTGCGTGAGCCGATGCTCTAACCACTGTGCTACACCGGAAAGGGCTATATGTCAATTCTTTTTTAATATGTTTTTATTGATTTCAGAGAGAGAGAGAGAAACATCGATGAGAGAAACATTGACCAGCTGCCTCCTGCATGCCCCCTATTGGGGATGGAGCCCGCCACCCAGGCATGTGTCCTGACCTAGAATCGAACCAGCGACCTCCTGGTGCATGGGATGGCACTTAACCAACTGGACCACACCGGCCTGGCTATGTGTCAGTTCTTTTAGAAGCAGATGTCAAGATGGGATTAGATGTGCAAGAGATTTATTGTGAGGATCAAAGAGGAAGGAGCGAGAATAGACAGGAAGAGCCTACAGACCACAATGCAGGTCTACACCTGTGAAAGAAGAGGGCAGAGGAAAGAGGACTAAGTAGGAAGAGTTCCAAATTGTAGCAGAGTTCTAAGAATGTTCTGTCCAGGTCAGAGAGGAGGAGTCTTTGAGCCAGAGTTGCCCATTAAAGGAATTCTGCATCAGGCAGAAGTGGACTGGCACTACTTCCTACTGTGCTTTGTCATTGTCTGGGTACAGCCGAGACAAGAAGGGGAGGATGGCAGATTGCCTTGGTACGAAGCTGGTTCTGGATCCAGAGAAATTGCAGTTGAGACTACCAGTCAACTATGCTCCTTGGAGTAAGCAGTTTCTCTTGAAGGAGATCTGAGTGGTGATTTCCATAGCCACCACAATCCTTATTTCTTTTAGTATTTGTATGGTATTCTGGTTATTCTTGCTGTGTAACAAAGCATCCTGAACCATTTTATTATGCTAATGAATTCTTTGGGTCAGGAATTCAGAAAGGGCACATCCCTGATGGCGCGCTTCTGCTCCATGGTGACCTCAATAGGGAAGATATGAAGGCTGGGGACTGGAATCATCTGAAGGCTCTTTCACTCATGTCTGGGGTTGATTCTGGCTGTCAGCTGAGACTTCTGTTAGGGCTATTAGCTGTAACACCTACACATGGCTTTTCCAAGGAATTGTTGAGGCTTCCTCACAACACAGTGGGTAAGTTCTGAAAGTGAGAATCCCAGCCCAACTGGTGTGGCTCAGTGGTTGAGCATCAACCTATGAACCAGGAAATCATGGTTCAATTCCCAGTCAGGGCACATGCCCAGTTTGCTCGCTCGATCCCCAGTGGAGGGCATGCAGGAGGCAGCCAATCAATGATTCTCTCTCATCATTGATGTTTCTAGCTCTTTCTGTCCCTTTCTCTCTGAAATAAATTAATTAATTAAGTGGGCATCCCTAATGGTGGGAAGTGGAAGCTGCTAGTTTAATAAGACCTAAGTCTGGAAATTGCCACAGTATCACTTCTGTGTCAGTCAAGCAGTCTCAGAGCTCAGATTCAGGGGAAGGGTACATGCCTTACTTCTTAATGTAAGAAGAGCCTTGTTTAAAAGCATCCAGCATCCATATAGCACAGTGATGGCGAACCTTTTGAGCTCAGCGTGTCAGCATTTTGAAAAACCCTAACTTAACTCTGGTGCCGTGTCACATGTAGAAATTTATTGATATTTGCAACCATGGTAAAACAAAGATTTATATTTTTGATATTTATTTTATATATTTAAATGCCATTTAACAAAGAAAAATCAACCAAAAAAATGAGTTCGCGTGTCACCTCTGGCACGCGTGTCATAGGTTCTCCGTCACTGATATAGCATGTAATCTCAATCTGTCTAAATTGATATATCTCCATCATTTTTGGATATTCTTTGTGTCTATGCTTTTATCTATTGGGTTACAAAGTTTACTATGTTTATTTCTCCATAAAGTAATATTATTTAGAAACTTCAGAACTTTGTATTGAAGTATATTATACATATAGGAAACAGCACATATCAGAAGTGTACTTTTCAATGAAATTTTTGTTTAACCTTTATTGTTGAGAGTTTTACAGATGTCTGCCCTTTACCTCCCAACCCACCTGGTTCCCTCCCCATCTCAGTGAAATTTTACAAATTTAACACATCTATGTAATGAACACCCAAATCAAGAAAGAGAACATTACCAGCAACCCAGATGCCCTTCCTAGCTACCAACTCCTTTAAGACTAACCACTATCCTAGCTTCTAATAGCATAGATTAGTTTCATTTTCATATTTTCTATAAATGCAGTATGCATTCTTTTGTGTCTAGTTTCATTTAGTCAATGTTACGTACATAAGATTCGTCCATGTCGTTACATGTAGGTGTATTTCCTTCACTCTTACTACTGTATAGTATGCTATTGCAAGGATATACTTAAATTTATCTGTTCTCCTGTTGGTAGAGCATTTGGATAGCTTCTAGTTTGGAGCTCTTTACAAATGGTACTGCTAAGACCATTCTTGTATATCTTCAGTTGAACATAGTGCACTTTTCTGTTGGGTGTACATAACTAGAAGGGGAATTGGTGGGTCCCATGGTATCCATGTGAAAAGATTTTGTAGCTACTGCCAAACTGTTTCTGAGTGATTGTAACAGTTTACATTCCCACCAGAAGGAATGAGCATTGGGTTGCTGCACAAGCTTGTAATACTTGGTACCATTTTTATTTTAGCTATTCTGGTGCATGTGCAGGGTTCTTTTTATTTTAACTATAGTTATTTATACCTTTAATTATTTACAGTAATTAAGAAAGAAAACACTGAGTGTAGAATATAAGTGATGAATAAATGCCAATTTTCTTCCCCTTTTTCAGAAAATAGAAGCACGAGTGTCTGCTGACGAGGACCTCAAACTTTCTGACCTTTTAAAATATTACTTAAGAGAATCTCAAGCTGCTAAGGTAACTTTATTGTTGATTGGAGTGTTTTTGTTTTTTTGTGGTTTTTAAAAATATTTTTATTGACTTCAAAGAGGAAGGGAGAGAGAGAGGGAAACATCAATGATGAGAGAAAATCATTGATTGGCTGTCTCCAGCACTCGCCCTACTGGGGATTGAGCCCGCAACCCGGGCATGTACCCTTGACCAGAATCAAACCCAGAACCCTTCAGTCTGCAGGCCGACACTCTATCCACTGAGCCAAACCAGCTAGGGTTGTTGATTGTTTTTTTTTAAATGAACTATTTAACAAAAAGCCATCTCTTTATAGTTGTTAGACTTAAGATTGTCAAAGATGATTTATCTCTTGATTTTAAATTATATTTTCTTATCTTTCTTTCTTTAATTTATTGATTTGAGAGAGAGAGGAAAGGAGAGAGAAACATGGATTTATTTTTCCACTTATTTATGCATTTGTTGATTGATTCTTGTATGTGCCCGACTGGGATTCGAACCCACAGCCTTGGCTTATCGGAGCAACACTCTAACCACCTGAGATACCTGGTCTTGGCTAAAGTATGTTTCTAAGTCTGATTTTTAGAAATTGTAAGTCAGGGGTAAATAAAAATTTCCTTGGTAAACTTCGGGTATAACATAGTCTAAAACTTTTTTTATGAATTTGGTTTACTTATTCCAGAAAAATGCCTGCAAAGACAAAAGTAAAACACCCAAATAACCCAGCAGGCGTGGCTCAGTGGTTGAGCTTCGACCTATGAACCAGGAGGTCACAGTTCAATTCCTGGTCAGGGCACATGCCTGGGTTGCAGGCTTGATCCCCAGTAGGGAGCATGCAGGAAGCAGCCGATCAATGATTCTCTCTCATCATTGATGTTACTATCTCTCTCCCTCTCTGCAATCAATACAAATATATTTTTAAAAAATAACAGTTGTATAGCTAAAGGATTCCTAATTTGGTCTATATAAGTCCGCTCTTGAAGGTGAGAGAGAGAGATCCATAAAACAAGAATAGGTTTTATTTTAAGGCAACTCAAGTTTCCTTTTGGAAGTCTGCTTAGGTACAAGACTAAAACTTACTAGTCAAAAACATGTTTAGCAAAAACATCTTAAAAGCACAGAAAAGAGGCATTGAACAAACCAACCTCAGGGGTACGAGGGTTAGGGGGTAAGCAATCCATAACAGGACTTGTGTGCATGCATATCAGCATAACCCATGGACACAGTCAGTAGGAGGGGTGAGGGCATCTGGTGGGGGGGGTGGGAACAAGCGGGGAGAAGTCAATGGGGGAGAAAGGATTCATATGTAATACTTTAAACAATAAAGAATTTTTTTTAAAAAGCATAGAAAACTTAGTGACTCAAATACTCCAAAATCAATGTTAATTTATCAATTGATATATTGCACAGAAAATTCTCATTTGACCAGTGGTGCTTTGAACACCATTCTTTCATTTCTTATTAAATTATAAAAAATTCTTTTAAATTTGAGGACTTGGGTACTTGCAAATATACCATCCATATAAAATTATTTTAAATCAGATTGTGTCTTATAAACGCTTTACATTGGATGGGCTAGGATAAAATGAATTGGTCACTTTTGAAGACTTTTAATTTATTATAATATATAGTTGTTAATAGAAAACCTTTAGAACAGAACATCACTTTAAAAGTAAATCCAAATTTTTTTAGTAATCATAAGAAAGAATTGAAACTTGCTGTAGCCGGTTTGGCTCAGTGGGAACCGAAGGGTCCCAGGTGTGATTCAGGTCAAGGGCATGTACCTCGATAGCAGGTTCTTCCCCGGCCCGGGCCCTGGTTTGGGTACGTGCATGAGGTAACCCATCTATGTGTCTCTCTCATCAATATTTCTCTCTGTCTTTCCCTCTCTCTTCCACCCTCTCTAAAAATCAGTGGAAAAAATATTCTCGGGTGATGATTTTTTTTAAAAAAATGTAAACTTAATTGTAAGAATAAAAAACACACACACTACAATTGCATATCACCATACTCTTTAATTAGAATGACTAAAATGGAAAAATTCTGACAAAAATTATAGCAACTGGCCCTGGCCGTGTGGCTCAGTTAGTTGGGGGTCGTCCCGTACAATGAAGGGCTGCTGGTTCGATTCCCGATTCCCGGTGTGGGGCATGCAGGCGGCAGCTGATCAATGTTGGACTTTCACATTGATGTTTCTCTCTTCTCCCTTCCTCTCTCTCTAAATATCAATAAACTATTTTGAAAAATTATAGCAACTGGAACTTTCACACACAGTAGAAATATGATGCAATACTTTGAAAAAGTGTAACAGTTTCTTTAAAACGTAAGCATAGACTACCCTATGATCCAGTAATTTCAGTTTAGATATTTTAAAGCATATGTCCCCACAGATGTTCACATCTGCTTTATTTGTAATAGCTGAAAACTGGCAACAACAACCCAAATGTCCACCAACAGGTGAGTGGATAAACCAATTGTGGTAAAGCCAGCCATACAGTGGAATGTTACTCAGCAATAAAAAGGAATGAATGTCTCATTCAAGCAGCAACATGGATAAATTTAAAAAGATGGTGAAAAAAGCCAAACTATAGAGAACGTAGTTTATACTAGAGTTCACTCTGTGTTGTACATTCTGTTGGTTTTAACAAATGTGTGATGACATGTACTCACCGTTATGAGTGTCATCTGGAATAGTTTCACTGCCCTAAAAGTCCTCCGTGCTCCACCTATTCATCCTCCTTCCTCCTAACCCCTGTTGGTCTTTATACTTGTCACCATAGTTCTGCCTTTTCCAGAATGTCATATAGTTGGGCCTTTCAGACTGGCTTTTCCCATTTAGTAATACGCATGTAAGTTTCCTCTATGTCTTTTCAGAGCTTCATAACTCATTTCCTTTTAGCACTGAGTAGTATTCCATTGTCTGGATGTACCAAGGTTATTTGTCCACTGACCTACTGAAGGACATCTTGGTTGCTTCCAAGTTTTGGCAATTATGAGTAAAGCTGCTATAGACATTCATGTGCAGGTTTTGGGTGGACATAAGTTTTTAACTCTTTTGAGTAAATACCAAGGAACACAATTGCTAGATCATATGGAAAGAGTGTGCTTAGTTCTGCCAAACCGTTTTCCAAAGTAGCTGTTTATTTTGCATTTCCGAGAGTTCCTGTTGCTTCTCATCCTTACCGGCATTGGGTGTTGTCAGTGTGGATTTGGCCATTCTAAAAGGTGTGTGATGGTATCTCATTGTTCCAATTTGCATTTCCCTGATGACAAGTGATGTGAAGCATATTTGTCATCTGTGTATCTTCTTTGGTGAAGTGTCTGTTTTTAAAATTGCCCTTTGGCCGATTTTTAAATTGAATTCATTTCCTGTTGTTGAATCATAAGAGTTCTTTGTATATTTTAAGTAGCAATCCTTTATCAGATATGTCTTTCGTAAATATTTTGTCTTAGTCTGTGGCTTGTCTTCTCATCCTCTAGACAGTGTCTTTTGCATAGCAGAAACTTTTTTTATCCTTACAAGGAAATGTTTTTATTGATTTTTAGAGAGAGAGGAAGGGAGAGAGAGAGAAACATCAATCGGTTGTCAACCAGGGATCAAACCTGCACCTTTTTGGTGTACGGGATGAAACTCCAAGCAGCTGAGCCACCCAGCCAGGGCTGCATAGCAGAAAATTTTAATTTTAAAGAACTCCACCTTATCAATTATTTCTTTCATAGATCATGCCTTGAGTGATCACCAAACCCAAGATCATCTGGATTTTCTCCTACACTATCTTCTAGGTGTTTTATAGTTTTACCTTTTACATATAGGTCTGTGATCTACTTTAAGTTAATTTTCGTAAAGGGTATAAGTTCTGTGTATGAATTTATTTCTTTGCATGTGAATGTCCAGTTTTCCCAGCACCATTTGCTGAAAAGATTTTTCTCCACTGTATTGCCTTTGCTCCTTTATCAAAGATCAGTTGACTATAGGTCTAGTGCTGGGCTTTATTTTGTTCTATGGATCTATGTGTCCATCTTTTTTTCTACCACTACCACACTGTTTAGATTATTGTAGCTTTATAGTGTAAGAAATAAGGCGAGCCCCCAAATTCAGGGGTCCTGGTAGAACACAAAACATACTCGGGAGCCAGGCAGCAAGGCAAACATCTTTACTTCTACATAGAAGGATGCGCAGCACATGGTCTAGAACAGCGGTTCTCAGCCTATGGGTCGCGACCCCTTTGGGGGTCAACAGACCCTTTCACAGGGGTCGCCTAAGACCATTGGAAAAACACATATAATTACATATTGTTTTTGTGATTAATCACTATGCTTTAATTATGTTCAATTTGTAACAATGAAATTGGGGGTCACCACAACATGAGGAACTGTATTAAAGGGTCGTGGCATTAGGAAGGTTGAGAACCACTGGTCTAGAAGCACATGCACACAGAGCAGGCTGTCTACTTGGCTTTTTAATTCTGACGCACATGACCTGTCCCTCACTCTTGATTGGAGCTCAGGCGCACAGTCTTTCGATTGGCTAATTTGAAGGGAGGGATTGACCTTTGCCATTTAAAGATGGCGGCCAACATGGCAGCTGCCTAAACTGTTCTTTGACAGAAAAAGTTACTTGTTTGTTCTCACAATAGTAAGGCTACAATTTCAAGTAGGTAATGTCGGTCCTCAGAGTTTGTTCTTCTCCTTTAATATTGTGTTGGTTATTCTGTGTCTTTTGCCTCTTCACATAAACTTTAGGACCATTTCCTTGATAATTACAAAAAAAAAGTTTTCAGCTTTTACAAATAAAGCTGATTTGAATCTAAATCTCAAGTGGGAAAGAATTGATTTTGACAATATTGAGTTTCCCTATCCATCAACATGGAATATCTCTGCATTTACTTAGTTCTTTGATTTCTTTTATCAGTTTTTCAGTTTTCCTCCTACAGGTTTTGTATATATTTTGTTAGATCGATACCTAAGTATTTTATTTTCTGGAGTGCTAATGGTATTGTATTTTTAATTTCAGATTTTATTTGTTCATTGCTGGTATATAAGATAGCAGTTGACTTTTGTTTATTAATGTTATATCCTACAACCTTATTATTCTTATTTATTAGTTCAGGAGAGGTTTTTTATGTGTTTTTTCTTTTTTCAGATTTCTACATAAACAGTCATGTCATCTATTTCTTCCAAATCTGTATACTTCTTATTTCCTTTTCTGATTGCATTAGCTAGGACTCCCAGTTCAATGTTGAGAAGGAGTGGTGATATTAGACATCCTTGTGTTGTTCCTAATATTAGTAGGAAAGTTTATAATTTCCCACCATTAAATCTGATATTACTTGTAGGTTTTTAGTAGATGTTTTTATCAAGTTGAGGAAGTTCCTTCTATTCCTAGTTTTCTGAGACAGTCAATTGATTGTTGACAAGGGTGCTAACAGTATAGTGGAGAAAAGAAAAGTCTTTTCCCTAGCTGATTTGGCTCAGTGAATAGAGCATCGGCCTGTGGACTGAAGGATCCTGGGTTCGATTCCGGTCAAGGGCATATGCCTGAGTTGCAAGCTCGGTCCGACTTGCAGGAGGCAACCAATCAATGATTCTCTCATCATCAATGTTTCTATCTCTCTCTTCCTCTTCCTTCCTCCCTGAAATCAATAAAAATATTTTTTTTTAAAAAAAAAAGGGAAGACTTTAACAAATGATATTGGACAACTGAATAGTCACATGAGAAAGAATAAAGTTGGACCCCTCGCATCACATATAAAAATGCACTCAAAATGGCCCTGGCCAGTGTGGCTCCCTTGGTTGGAGCATTGTCCTGTGCAGTCAAGGTGCATGGAGAAGGCAACCAATCCATGTTGATCCATGTTTCTCACCTCAGTGTCTGTCTGTCTCTCTCTCCCTCCCTCCTCTCTCACTCTCCCTTTCTCTAAAATCAATAAAGAAAACATATCCTCAGATGGAATTAAATATCCTATATAATAAAAGGCTAATATGCAAATTGACCAAACAGCAGAACAACCGGTCACTATGATGCTCACTGACCAGCAGGGGGCAGGTGCTCAGTGGAGGAGCTGCCCCCTGGTGGTCAGTGTGCTCCCACAGGGGGAGCACCACTCAGCCAGAAGCCGTGCTCACGGCTGGTGAGCACAGCGGCAGTGGCAGGAGCCTCTCCTGCCTCTGTGGCAGCACTAAGGAGCCATCAGTCGGACATCCCCCGAGGGCTCCCAGACTGCGAGAGGGACCAGGCCGGGCTGAGGGACCCCATCCCCCCCAAGTGCACGAATTTTGTGTACTGGGCCTCTAGTATATATATAATCTATCTATATAAAACCCTAATATGCAAATCAACCCAATGGTGAAACGACCAGTCGCTATGACGTGCACTGACCACCAGGGGGCAGACGCTCAACCCAGAAGCTGCCCACAGGCCCCCACCAGCGGCGGCGGGGGATGGGGCCGGCGAGTGAGCAGCACCAGGCCAGCCAAGGCAGGTGCAAGTGGGGGGGCCCCCTGATCGCCCCATCAGTCGCTCTGTGGCCCATGGCAGAGGGTGGGGCCAGCGAGCAGGCAGTACCAGGCCAAGCCGGGTACAAGTGGGGACCCTGATCACCCCACCAGTCGCCCCACAGATCCAACCTGATCGCTGGCCAGGCCTAGGGACCCTACCCATGCACAAATTTCGTGCACCAGGCTTCTAATTTAGCCATAAAAGGAAGGTACTGATTCATGCTGTAACACAGATGAATTTGAAACTTTATGCAAAATTTAAAAGGCCATATGGCCAAACCGGTTTGGCTCAGTGGATAGAGTGTCGGCCTGCGGACTGAAGGGTCCCGGGTTCGATTCCGGTCAAGGGCATGTACCTTGGTTGCGGGCACATCCCCGGTGGGAGGTGTGAAGGAGGCAGCTGGTCGATGTTTCTCTCTCATTGATGTTTCTAACTCTCTATCCCTCTCCCTTCCTCTCTGTAAAAAAATCAATAAAATATTTTTTTTTTTTAAATAAAAGGCCATATGAAAGTCCAGCCGGTGTGGCTCAGTGGTTGAGTGTCAACCTATAAGCCATACACTTTTTAATGACATGTCCAGAATAGACAAATCTGTAGAGAAAGAAACCATTAATGTTTGGAGCGGGGGTTGAAGATGGAGAGTCACTATTAATGGATATGGGGTTTCTTTTGGGGGTGACAACAAATAGTCTAACATTGATTGTAATTATGGTTCAACAACTCTGTGAGCATCCTAAAAGCCATTGTATTGTGCATTCTGAATGAGTGATCTATGTGGTATATGAATTATATCCCACTAAAGCTGTTATTTAAAAAAATACAAGAGTAGCTGGCATGTGGTATTCACAGTGTAAGTGTTAACTCTGAGGAAGATTAGGTGGAAGTGGTGGAGGTGGTTGAGTGTAGCTACTAGAAATGTGCAGCATCTATTATTGTAAAGCATTCTCTTTTATAGGATCTCCTCTATCGAAGATCTAGGTCACTAGTGGATTATGAAAATGCTAATAAAGCACTGGATAAAGCAAGAGCCAAAAATAAAGATGTTTTACAGGCAGAAACGTCCCAACAATTATGTTGTCAGAAATTTGAAAAAATATCAGAGTCTGCAAAACAAGGTACTGTTACATTATCCTTTAATTAGGTAGGTATGTTTTACACTAGTATGTAAATAAAATAATCCTAATTTCTTTTGTTCACAGAACTTATAGATTTTAAGACAAGAAGAGTTGCAGCATTCAGAAAAAACTTAGTGGAACTGGCAGAGTTGGAACTAAAGCATGCAAAGGTAATGTCATAAAGGGTTAACAATTTCAGGAACTTATAATTTACAAAGGAGTCAGTTATAAAACTGATTCCAAAGGATATGTAAGAAATATTACTGAATTGAAATTAAATTTTCCACATTTATTTCACTCCTTTAAAATATTTGGTTTTAGTATTATCCTCTTACAGAGTTTTTTACAGCTCTTAAGTTCTTTCTTGTAGTTAATATAAAACTTAGCGCAAACCTTACAGTAAATATTAAAAGAGAATCTTAGAATTGAGAGAGATTTCTTAAGTGATGTCATTCAAACAAGAATAATATCTATAATGACTGGTGGTCAGCTCTGCAAGACTCTGGTATCTAATATAGAAACCAGTATCTTTTTTTTTTTTTTTTTTTTGACTAGTTGTTTAAAAAATAAATCTTTCTCCTGGTTGGTTTGGCTCAGTGGATAGAGCGTTGCCCTGCGGACTGAAGGGTCCCAGGTTCCATTCTGGTCAAGGGCACATGCCAGGGTTGCTGGCTCGTTCCCCAGTTGGGGGCGTGCAGGAAGCAGCCAAGCAATGATTCTCTCTCATCATTGATGTTTCTATCTCTCTCTCCCTCTCCCTTCCTCTCTGAAATCAATAAAAATTAAAATATATATTTTAAAAAAATAATAATAAACCTTTCTGCCCTGGCCAGTTTTTCTCAGGGGTTAGAGCTTTAGCCCTGAGACCGAAGGGTCAGATTTGATTCCCAGTCAAGAGCATGTACCTGGGTCGCAGGTTCCATCCCCAGCTCTGGTTGGCGTGTGTTCAGGAGGCAACCAATCGATGTCTGTCTGTCTCTCTGTCTCTCTGTCTCTCTGTCTCTCTCCCTCTCTCCCTCTCTCCCTGCCTTTCTTCCACTTTTTCTAAAAAATCAATGGGGGAAAAAATAGAAAATAAAAAATAATGGAAAAATATAAAATAAAAATTAAATAGCCCTAACTGGTTTAGATCAGTGGATAAAGCGTCGGCCTGCGGACTGAAGGGTCCCGGGTTCGATTCCGGTCAAGCCCTGTACCTTGCTTGCGTGCGCATCCCCAGGAGGGGTGTGCAAGAGGCAGCTGATCATGCTTCTCTCTCATCAATGTATCTAACTCTCTATTCCTCTCCCCTCCCTCTCCTCTCTGTAATCAAATCAATATATATATTTATTTAATAAAAATAAATTAAATAAAATAAATAGATAGAAATCCTATGCTTGAGTATTGATTAACAAACAAATAATCTATCTATATATATACATAATATCGCTAGATAAATATCTTTATATATATATTTATTGAGTCAGAGAGGAAGGAGAGAGAGAGAGAGAAA